GACGTCATAGCACACATAGAAGCCCTTATTAAATTCACCCAGCACGCTTAAATGATAGCCAACAAAGCTTGTCCTTACCGAACACTGAAATGTCTCTAGTGAGAAAAGCTGTCCTCCAAAATAGGCTGGCCTTAGGCATTATCACTGTCTCACAAGGAGGCACCCATGCCATTATCCAGATTGTTGTGTATCCATACCTGATGAGTCTGCTAATGTATTATCTTTATTAAATCACATAAAAACACAAGTGAATGCCCTAAGTGATTTAACTCCCAGCCTAGGGGACTTGATAGATCAGTGGTTTGGATCACGGGGCTCTTGGTGAAAAAAGTAGTCACTAATTTTGGAAATCATTCTTAATCTGTTTTCTCTTACATGTGTCTCTATTGTTGCTGTGGCATCTGCCTCCAAATGCAGCCAGATATCTGCCTAATGAGCAACCTCCATGCTAGTAATACCCTTTGCTGACTGCTCCGGGCACATTACAAAAAGGGGAGTGTACAAGATTGAAAAGGGTGGTGGATAAGATTCTAAGAGCCGGTCACAAGTGCTAAAGTGTTGGAGGAGGTCATCAAAAAGATGTGACTGCTAGTTGACCCACCAACTGGACCCAGGCAATTGGAGGTTCCTCACCTCTTCCCCTGCCCTTGGAATGTAAATTTTGCTTGACTTATCCACTCCCAGAAGCTGCCCCAAAGATACAGTCTTGAGATAGTAATGTGGTGATGAGACTATCTGGACTGTATGTGTGACTGAACCCAGGTAAGTCCCATATATAAACTTTTAAGATTCTGGCAGGCAGGTGTGGAAATCTACTTAGCTTGTGGTGCCCAAGATAAGCCTCATAAGTAAGTTCTCTTGCTTATTAAACCTGCCACCTACCAACCTGTGGTGGCCTGACTCTTTCCTCCGTCTCCCTCTGCCCTCTGAGTAAGGGAAGCTGGTTTCAGATTACACCCAGGAAGCCCCCTAGGTTGCACAACAACAGCCTCTCACCCTTTTAACCACATTAACCCCAGGAAGGAGCCATTGCATTAAAGGCAAAGGACGCTGTCCTCACATCCCTGGCTCTCACTTGAGAGATTTGAGGCAGACTGACATCTCCCACATGCCTGGTTGGGTACCTCTCTTTTGACCTAACTCTTCCTATAAATGGGACCCAAAGTCAGGTAGGATTTAGGTGGAGGAATTGGTAGGAAACTTATTTTGTCTTTGGACCCAAGACATGCTTGCCAATTAACCTTTCCTGTTAATGTTAATATTTCCCCCAACTTGACTCCTTTATTTTTCAATTGGTTAAGAACTTGTAGACACAGAGGACTGTGATTCATTAGATTCCCTCAAAAACTCCTTTAGTAGAACTAGGAACACGATTCTACTAAAGAGAATAAGACATTGTCCTTACACGCAAGGAACTTACAGTTATGGTGTTTCCACAGCACTTTGCACCTATCTCTAAGATAGAATTCAATCAGGGGGTTGTAATTTTTGGTTTAGTTTCTACCTCTTCATCTGTACTGCAAGCAGTGATAGGCAGGAAGGGAATCTCACAACCATGTCACCTTAGAACCTAACAAACCTGGGTGCCTAGCATGTGGTCGTAGGTTGTTTGCAGATAAAGTGATTTTCATGGAATGTTTACCCTGACTAGCTTCAGAATAGGGCCTGATTTTAAAGATAATCCCCCAGAACTTGCTTTTGAACCTGTAACTTGATTTCTAGCACAGAATTTTCAGTTCCTGTGTTCTCAAGTTCAGCACAAACATTCTATAAAGCAGTAATGTTTTCTTTTACACTTGCCATTTTTACTTTCTGGGCTGGGTGGTGAGGCCCTTCCTGTTTCTACCTAAAATAGGACTTTCCAAATGAGTCTGTCTTATGAATGTGACTTGGCTTCCTGCCACACCTGACTCCGGGTGGGGAGATACGAGTTCATAAAGGCTAAACGGATCATAAGCTTCACAAATCACTTGAGGGATCTTATGAAAATGCAGATTCTTATTTAGTAGGTAAAGCCTGAGATTCTACATTTCTAACAACTCCCGTGGATGCCCATGTTACTGATTTGAGGGCCATCCTTTGAGTAACAAAGGAGTAGATAACTCACTTCACAGACACAGTCATTCATTCTTTAAACATTCTTTACTTCTACTGTGTGCCAAGCATTGGGCTAAGAAACTAAAGAGGAGTGTGACATAATCCTCACCCATAAGAAGCCCACAATCTAATGTAGCAGCAAACATAATAACAAATACGTGCTGATATGACCGTTAACATAATGATATGACCATTAGCAGAATAGGAAGACAAGCCACAGATGGGAGAAAACATTTGCAAAAGACATATTTGATAAAGGATTGTTACCCAAACTACACAGAGAACTCTTAAAACTTAACAATAAGAAAAAAAACAACTCGATTTAAAAATTGGCAAAAGATCTAAAGAGACATCTCACCGAGAAGATACACAAGATGGCAAGTATATGAAAAGATGATCAACATCATATGTCATTAGGAAATTGCAAATTAGGACAATGAGATACCCTTACATACCTATTAGAATGGATAAAATACAGAGCACTGACAACACTAAATGTTGATGAGGATGTGGAGCAAAAGGAACTCTCATTCATTGCTGGTGGGAATGAAAAATGGTACAGCCACTTTGGAAGATACTTTGGCAGTTTCTTACAAAACTAAACACACTCTTACCATACGATCCTGCAATCATGTTCCTTGGTATTTGCTCAAATGAGTTGAAAACTGATGTCTAACAAAAACCTGTACATGGATGATTATGCACTTTTATTCATAATTGCCAACATTTGGAAACAAGGAAGATGTCCTTCAGTAGGTGATTGGATAAACTGTGATATGTCCATACAATGGCATATTATTCAGTACTAAAAACAAATGAGCTATCAAGCCACAAAAAGACATGGAAGAACCTTAAATGCATATTATTAAGTGAAAGAAGCTAATTGGAAAAGGCTACATACTGTATAGTTCCAACTATATGATATTCTGGAAAAGGCAAAACTATGGAGACAGTAAAAGGATCAGTTGTTGCCAGGACTTGGGAAGGAGGGAAGGATGAATAGATGGAGCACAGGAGATTTTTTAGAGTAGTGAAACTATTCTGTAGGTTACTGTGATAAATCATACATGTCACTATATGTTTGTCAAAACTCACAGAATTACAACACCAAGGGTAAACCCTAATGTAAACTATAGGCTTTGGTTGATAATGATGTGTGAATGTTGGTTCATTGATTGTAACAAATGTACCATCCTGGTGCAGGATGTTGATGATGGGGGAGGCTGTGTGTGTGTGGGGGGACGGGGTAAATGGAAACTCTTTGTACCTTGCACTCAACTTTGCTGAATCTAAAACTGCTCTTTAAAAAAGTATAGATAGATAGATAGATAGATAGATAGATAGATAGATAGATAGAGATATGCTCAGTCTAGAGAATCTATTCTGGGGGCTAGAAAGTCTTGATTGGTGGGCAAAACTGAATAAACCACATATACCAAAGTAGCCTCTACATTGGAAAACCCATATCAAAATTATCGGGGGTGGGAGTGTCTTTTAACAGTGAAGATTATAGAGCTATATCCCAGGTCTCCTGAATTAGAACTCCTTAGTGCTGGGAGTTGATAATCTGTAGGTTGGTAATCTAGCAAGCTTTTCAGGCTGTTTTTATGTGCCATAAGGTTTGAGAATCACTCTTCTATTTCATGTCCATGCATTTTTTGCTACAAAAGCCAATACCAAATTGATTCTAAATAAGTTCTAATAACTTTACCTTCCTATTAGGAACAATCAACAATCTTAAAATCCATGGAAAATCATTAAATTATCTACATATTCTTTTTCATACATTTCATTAGTGAAATAAACCACATAAATAATACCGAAATAGATTTATTTGGGAAATACATATATAATCCGGACACCTTTTTTTAAGAAGGAATAAAAACATAAATGATTTGTGATTTTGGCAGCATGGTACAAATATATATATATAAATCATTTACAGAGGTGAATCATTATCAACATTGTATTTACTATAAGACATGTTAAGAATATTCTAGGGCCGGCCCCATGGCTTAGCAGTTAAGCGCGCGAGCTCCGCTGCTGGTGGCCCGGGTTCGGATCCCGGGCGCACATCGACGCACCACTTCTCCTGCCATGCTGAGGCCGTGTCCCACATGCAGCAACTAGAAGGATGTGCAACTATGACATACAACTATCTACTGGGGCTTTGGGGAAGAAAAGGAGGAGGATTGGCAATAGATGTTAGCTCAGAGCCGGTCTTCCTCAGCAAAAAGAGGAGGATTAGCATGGATGTTAGCTCAGGGCTGATCTTCCTCACAAAAAAAGAAAACAAAGAATATTCTAAACAATAGACAGAAAATTTTCTTGTTTTTTTAAATTCAAGAAAATTCTGAAGGAACTGTTCAGCTTTGTGTGTTTATCTGATAAGGACAGCAAAATGGATCCTCCCCGTCCTTCCTGTTTCTATTTTTAAGAATACCACAAGAAGCTATTCTAATACATCTTTTGTATCTAAGTTACCCATAAATGCAGCTTGGCTAAAAGAGCCTACGTAGAATTGGTTACTCAAAACTCTAGGTGTAACGATATCACACTCACTAGATAACAGTGACTCTAAAACAGCACTCACAGCCCCAGTCTAAGGGGCCAAATCTTAATGCCAATGCTACACAAGAAAAGCTCTGCCGCAAAATCTCAAAATTTATCTTTTGGGACGACAATTTCTATGGGATGTCATACTCCCGTCTCCGTAATTTCATACAATATTTTCATATATTTTCCTTAATGATTCATTTACTCTAGTATTTTGAGCTTCTTTAGCAAGCTGAAATGGAATGTCAACTTGTCAGTTTCTCTTTTGCCATTTCTGTAAGTCACCTACCCATCCTTCCATATACTAACCCACACACACACACACCCCACATACATTTGTGCAGGAGCTCGCATATTTGTTCAAATGGGCCCTAACCTTCGCTATCCACTCTGTGTGAAGTCTATTGCATTATTTTGTAGCAGCACCCGAGAACGCTAATAGCCTCAAGCTGTTGAAAAAAGTTGTAGGCTGTTTTTGGAATAGACTCAAGTACACTGGAAATTCAGAAAATCTGAAGCCATCTCTTCTCGCTATACTCATAAGTGGCTGCAACCTTAATATTTTTAAAGGAATGCTTACCAAACTGTACTACTTCACTATGTATGATTTTCTCTGATTCCTTAGTAAGAAGAACAGCAAGGTACAGATGTGGTGAATGAAAGTATGATGACCCATACTGGCCAATTAAATATTCCGGACTTTCTCCATTCCATTAATTGTGCCTTTAGTTTGCTATCAGGTTAACCATGAAACAGTTTAAGCCATCAACCTTCCGTTGCCTGACACTAACTATTCTCACTGATTTTTGCATTTATTCTGACACCTACGAGTATAATAATTCAGCAGCATTATGTCACATTCATATACATTAGTCTATGTGACCCAAACACTGAGTCACCATTTTGTTTATAAGTGCACCATACGTTAATTGCTCCACTACTATCTATATTTGCTTAGCAATCTAATAGGATAGATATAGGCATTTGTTTGTCAGATATGGGGAACATCTACCTCACATCCAGTTGGTGTATTCCACATATTTATTGCACCATTTATCCTTTCCATTCTTTTCTAATATCATCAGATCTAAAGTTATTTCCCCTTTACATTTAAGAAACCCCGGTATTAGAGTGACAGAAGAAAATTTCTTATTATGGAAGATTGACTAGAAATAAACATACTACCATTACTATATTTATGGCTAGTTAGTTAATTGGGACATTCTTTCTTTTTCAAGAGAGTGTAGTGAACTGACCCAGATAACACAAACTTCACTTCCCTACATGTGTCTCTGATAGCTCCAAAGAAAATATTGAGTTTGTATATTGGGTAAAATGTAGCTAAGTTTAAATGTTCTACTACTCTGCTACTCAGGATATCACTCAGTTTTGGAGAGAAGATTTTGTTGTTTAAGACTATAGTATAAAAGCCTCCCAAAGAAGTTTCTGGGAGAAATTTTAGTCATTTGTCCTATGGACCCTTAAGACCCAAGCACCAACATGAACCTTCTTAAAGTGAAACTTCTCAGGTCAAGGAATATTCTTTGACACTGTGGGCTCAGACAATGGTGCTGCCACGCTGATGGTTACTGGGTGGAGAGCAGGACCAAATTTAACTCCTCACGCATATAGCTGCATATTCTGTAGGTGCTTCATTCACATTTCTTGCCTGTCTTGGGTTCATTCCAATGATGGAATGGTTCAGGGAAGCATAAACAATGCCCTGTTTGTTTTCCTCCAGACACGGGTTAGAATAAACCCCAGGCTCTTCCTGGACTCTGAACCAGGGGTCATTATCATAAATTCCAGTTTCTGATTGCAGTGTTTGGGAGTTTTGCCTGGTGCCCACTTCAGTGTGTTCGCTCCTAAAGGGCTGGGGAACATCAACCTATAAGAGAAGAAAAGAGTGTTTTAAGTCCCACTTAAAGATGTAATAGCGCATATCTGTTAGTGAACTATGAGTGTAGGCTAAACCGAGTCATTGCACAGCAAGAGAAATAATCTACTCCTCCTCGCATATGATTTTGACATGTACTTTTTTAGCAGATTCTTACTGATTAAAGGATAGAAGGCTAAAGACCACCATGTTCCTCCTGAATGTTATTTTGTGCTGTATTATTAGTCACTTTTGAGATCACACTTTTCAATCCCTCTTCAGGATCAAAAACACAGCCCAAATTAATGAGAAAAGCATAAAATATTCCACAAGAACTTGAAGCAGCTTATAATATAATGGATAGTATTAATATTGTTTAAAATAAAACAATTAAAGATAAAGCAGAACAGATACCCTCTAAGGGGCAGAAAGAATAAATATTATGAGTTATCCAAGATGTGTTATTATGATTTGAAACCTGGAATTGGAAAATTGCTGTCAGTTTTGAGGAAGGGGCAGCCAAAGCTTAGAAAAAGTTCTAAAATATTCCAACTGTTATTTCTATCACAAGAAAATTCTTATATTTCCAAAGAGAGTCAAATATCTTAACGCTTCTGAGAAAGAGGTGAATTTATGGAAAGTAAAAATAAAATGAGTCTTGATGTTTTTCACTCTTTTTAGTTATTTGTTAGCCATTCCAAGCTAAACAAGGGATCCACCTGATAAAAATGAAGATATCACTTTAGTGCTAAGGGTTGTTATTTGAAATTTTTTAATCCCAATTTTGCCAGTCAATTTATGTTCTTGAAGTTAAGTCTAACTCCTTTAAGGTATCAGGTCCACAGTCTTTGATAGTCTACATGCTTTATCTGGTCCTTTGTCATCCTCACTGTGATGTGTGCAGTAGTACATCTATCACACCTCCTTGGCAGAGTTCTACCACACAAGCACATCTGGTTCTATCCTGAGAAACTAGGTATTAACTGCAGAGTACACTGCCTCTCTCCAATGAGTTGACTGCCCAGGAAATAACACTAAGGCTGGATAATTGAAAGAGGCAGGGATTGCTTTAACCTTCCCAGGCTCTTGACTCAGATGGAAAGTGCCCCCACTTCCACTTGAAGGGGCCTGATTAATGTCTCTGGAGGAGCAGTGAAGAAGACTGTCATGTGACCTAACACATAGCCATAAATCCTCAATATATCAACAAGGTCCCTGTCATACTTTTCAATCTAGATAAGTCTGTTAACTCAAGTTCCTGGCTCCCATCCCCAAAAATGGCTCGTTTCCATGGAAAACATTCTTAGAATGAACGGAGTGAAGGAAAACATGGTGTTCTGTGGGTGAACCTATCCTGTGGCATCTCGTCAAAGTGAGTGAGTGCCACATGGCTAGTGCACCATGCTGTGGTGGGTACAGATGACAGACACCGAGGCACTATCCTACTTTACATTTGTTTGGCACTTTACAGTTTACAAAGCACTTTTTAAAAGATATATACAATTCACTGGTTTTTAGTATACTGGTTTTTAGTATATGAGCACTTTTATACCCTTGAAGGGCTATTCTGGAATAAGTTGGGAACTTTGGCTTTTATATGTACCTGCCATGTTTTTACCAGTTCCTTTCTCTGCTTTGGATTTCTTTTCCACTGGTTTCCATACAAGTTCCTTCTTAAGAAATCTTTGGTCTCAAATATCTAATATGTCATCTCTGATTATTTTCTGAAATGTTTGACAATTCAAATGAAGGCAAAACTGTGAATTCCTGTGAAAAACGTGAACATCTTAAAACAAAATTCTCAAATAATTGCACACACAGAAAAATCCCTCTTGAATTCAACTTCAAATCATAAATAATTTGTCCAGCTTACACAGGAAGAAATATGGTTATATTTTAACCAACCTTGGCTTTGCTTGCACAGTAAATTATTTAAATTATTGTTTTAAATGGTTTCAAAGCTCTCAGGCCTGATCATAACAGAATGTAGTTTGTTGTTTTTCACTATAGAAAGAAAGGAAATAATATTTAAGAACATTTCCCTGCTTGAGGAAACAAAACCTTAGCACCTAATGCAGTGATGCCTACTGATTCTTACTAAAAACTTAATACAAGTTTATCAAGTTGAATGGATTTGGTTTGATTTAAAATTAGGCAACCTGGCGGTGAATGCTGAATGCCATTTAATATTATTTGCAGAATTATTGGCTGTATCTGCCTCTGGCATTTCTGGAACTTTCAAGAAGGTTACTGCAACTTGATCTCTATTCTTCCTTATTGAAACACCCACACACACACACCAAGTTCCTTTGCAGTACCTCGTTTACAACTATTTGTTTTTAATGAAAGAGCTTCATAAAATCTTTTTCAGAAATATGTTGCCTCATCTTGCATTCTTTTTTGAGTTCCAATATTTACGCAACATTAAACCCAAAAGAAAGGCCTAAGTTTATATTTCAAGAACTTGTAGGAAAACTTGGCACTGTCTCCAAAACGCCCTTTCCTTTGTCTGGGAGGTCTCTTCCTTGATGAGCCCACACACATTCCAAGGGACTTTGTGTAGTAACTGGACCTGTGATCCTGCCTCTTCATCTGCTAGTGTGATCTATGAAGAAATCACACCTTGTATTACGAGGTTATTTATAGCTTATTCTCTCATTAACTCCCAACTCTCTTCTTGAAACACTTTAAGATATTTTTGTGAAAATAGATGAATAACCTGGTCACATAACAGGCCAAGAGTAGAGCCAAGGTTATATGATTCAGTCTCTGAATTTTCTGCTTAGAATCTACACTGCCACCCATGACACCCATGGACCACTTATTGTTAATCCTGAAGAATCTTTGTTGCAAATGGAGGTGAATGTAAAATAAACACATTTTTAAAGTAAGTCAAGAAATGCAGCACTTAGAACAGTGCCTGGCACATGGTGAGTGTTACATAGACTCATTAAATTAAAAAATATATAAATATTGACATGGTGTAACACAGATTGCATTTGTTCTAACAGATACATTGAACATACCAGGTTAATTTCCCCTCCTGTTGTATCAGAAGGCTCCTTTTGTTTCCCTGGAATTCAAAAAGAAAAATAAGAAACCAAAAGGAGTAAAGAAAAACACAAAATTCTTCCCCAATTTCCTGTAGCTTAGAGTTGTGGTAAGAATATGGGTTATGAAATCAGATTGCTTGGTTGAAATTCAGTCCCTAGAGCAGAGGTGGGATGCCTCCTCGCCCACGCTCACCCACTTGCATGAGAGAGACAGCGTTGTTATTAGTTTCGTCTTGTCTATTTGCTATGACTAGCATGGCACATACACCTCAGTTTGCGAGAATTATGCTGCCCATTCTATTCACTGGTTCTTCACGTCTCACTCCAGAGAGACCTACAGCACATCCAAGAAGGGGCAGAATCCAGCACATCATTTTAAAAAGGCTGGAAATCCTTGTTCTGGGGACATTCTATACTCAGTGCTAGACAAACTGCTGTGCTATCACCTACATAGCCAGGATCTCCTACTGCCAGTTCACTTTGGATGTGGTGAATCAAAGTATTATTCCTGCCTCTTTCTCTGAAGTTCTGAGAGAAGTTCCAGCAGCCTTAAGAAAGGTGGTAAAACGTGGAGAGGGACCATGGAAAGAGCCTTGGAGTTGCAGATGTGGAGTTGGGGTTACAGAATGTTCCCTCAGTATTCTGAGAAGGTCTGGAAGTCCTCACCACAAAAAACCAGAAGCACTTTTGCCCAGACAAAGTTTTCTCTTGGGGCAAAAACAAGGGTTGCTCTGTCTAGCTTAGTTTTTATAGCTACACTGTGGCTGCTATTGTGGGAAAAGGGATGGGAGAAGATGGCAGAGAAGAAGAAAAAAACAGAGAACTGAGGTGATTTAGACCAGAGCTAGGTCAGAATTCTCCATACATCTCTCTCTTACTGTGTTTAAGTGTTCGCTCATGACAGTGAGGGGATTCTTACAAAAGCAGAAAGGAATTGTTTTCAAAATATCACACCTCTCCCATCATAGCCAAACCCACATTTTTCAAATGCGTTATTGTTGGGTGAGGGTTCGGTTAAAGCGTGTGTTTGTGATGGCAACAGAAAGTACAGACGTATGAGTTTCCTCCGGGCACATTGAGTCTTCATTTAAACAAGGGTGTGTACGACTGGCATGATGTGGTGTGGCTGTGAAAAAGAGGATGAGACAGACTAACTCAAATCAGACATGTTGATCTGAGATTATTTCCACCTCCCTTTCAATACCGTTCAAGTTTAGAAGAGCTTCTTGTCAAGCACACCTGATTGACACAATTAGAATGAGTAAGTCCCAGCAACGTGCCCTTCTTACCACAACCCTTGGCTGGAGCACTATGCTGTGGTGAGCATGCCTCACCTTGACTAGAGGGGACCTGAATTAATCCATTTGGCTTTGTGGTAGAAGGATGAGTTACCCCCCAGGAAATCATTATCCATGGTTTGTCGCACAATATTGGGAAAGAAAACAATAGGAACAGACTAAAAATCTATCATCCCTAGTAATTTAACCCCAAATGTGTGGCCCAGAACAGCAGAGGGAAGATGGAACCCACCTTGGTGCCTTCTCAGGCAGCAGACCAGGTAGAAACAGGTAATGAGCAAAGGCAATGCCCCCAAAGGAAGAAAACCATAGAGGATCCATCGTCTGTCCACGATCTCTTCCACGAAGGGTGGTCCTGAGACACTGGTTGTATCTGAAATGTTAGTCAATTCTAAAGACATTAGGAAATTTGAAATATATTAGGATTGGCAAAATGCTCCGCATTGTCAGAACTTGAATGAAGGAGACCTCTAGCTGATGCTTCCATTTCCCTTCCAGGCCTTCCCCAAGAACCCCAGGCCTCAGCACTCTCAACCATCTCTTGCTTTCTTCCTGAGCATATGTGGGTGGCTCTGGGTTATAATTTATCTTTTGCAAAAATTCTTTATTCTGTAAAACAATATCCATAACAGCTCTCAGAAAGCACTTTACCAAGGCCTTTCACTTACATTTTTTTATTTAACTCTCTTATTTACCACTTAAGAAAAGTAAGGAAGCCGTTATTTTTATCCAGTCCCCTGCCTTGAGAAGGGTATTATTGTTCCAAGATTTGCCCAAAATCAGACAGCTTAGTGAGTGGCAACTGGGACTCAAGTCAACATGTTTCTGCTACTAAATTAAAATTCCTTTAACACAATGCTTTTTTGTTGTCTCATAACTCTTTGGTATCTCCAAATACCAAATACTTTTGAGATCTCCAAATAACTTTAGTATCTCAAGATATGCTTTGCTGGGCATACAGGTGGTGCTCATTATTATTGATCAATGTTTATGTGCATTAAGGCACTGTTTGTCCATGGTAGGTTGAAAGTTATTAGTGGGTCATGAAACAATTTAATAGGTCTCAAATAACGTTGAAAAAAATGAAAGATAACAGAACAGAAAATATTAGAAAGCACCACATCTTTAATTTTATACTTGCATTAATTTTTTTAATGCAAGAAATCTTTATTTAGAAATATATGAACATATATATATTCACTTCTCCATACGCTTGGTTTTAGGGTAAAGGTGGTTAGGAGCTACAGGAGCCAGGCGTAAAGGGGTTTGGTAATTCAGAGCGGTAACAAATGTTGCATTATTCATGCTGCAGCTGTTGCTTATGTTGGAGGGGCAGCTAAGTCATTGTCAGGAATGACAGACACAGCTGTCTGGGGGAGGGGTATGCTGTGGTAAGGTTCCCACAACTGACAACGTGATACAAACAAATCCACCTAATTAAGAACATCCAACTTTTATTACTTCTCCAGTCAGCAAACAATCTAGTGCCCTTAATTTTATTTGACTAGTTTGATACTTACTTATTAGAGGATGCTCTGAACTATTTTGAGTCCATTCTGAAATAGAAAAATAAGGTAAAGAATTGAAATTGGTTGTGGAGATAATGAAGGTATATACTCAGGTATGTCCAAAATCAGAGCCAGTCTCTGAGAGATCGCCTGCCTTTGCACACTAACCGAGAATCCAACAATCCAGCTCAAAGGCAATTTGCATAATTTGTAGATCATCACCTCAAGATGATGGACACAACATATATCCTGGGTTTATTTTGAGGCTCAGAGAAAGAGCATATAATTACAACACAACCTTTATCTGTCTGCTTTCATTCCCTCTTCCCCATTCTTTGAGTACAAGGACATAATACAGCCTGTATGACACCTTCCGGCACTTGGAATGAGACGCACGTTCAGCAGGTGCTCCAATTGAATGTGAAAGGCCAGGAGGAAAGGATGCTTTAAATGACATGCGGAAACAAAGATTGTGCCTCTCACTCCCTGCCCATTCATACCGCCCCCACTTTCCTGCTAAGATGATGACCACCTGCCTTTGTGAAGTTCCTAATCAGGGACTGACCAAGCGCAGGTTGGGGAGGACCGAGTTGCAGGCCAATGTATGTTCCAGTGACTGTTCCCAGCTCTGTCAGCTTTTCCCCTGGGACTTTGCTTTGCAAAGTGCTTTTCTTCATTCTGGGAGAATATTGCTTTCCCAACAGCATCCAAGCCCCCACTCTGTTACAGCTCTGTTCTTACATGGATAAATTCTTGAACATAAAAAAGTGAAGGAGGGCCGGCTCTGTGGCTTGGCGGTTAAGTGCGCGCGCTCTGATGCTGGCGGCCCGGGTTCGGATCCCGGGCGCGCCCCAAGGCACCACTTCTCCGTCCAGCGCGGGGCCGAGTCCCACGTACAGCAACTAGAAGGATGTGAACCTATGACATACAACTATCTGCTGGGGCTTTGGGGGGAAAAAAATGAATAAATAAAATCTTTAAAAAAAAAAAAAAAGTGAAGGAGAGTCAGATACAAAACAGAAAAATTTCCAATATGCCCTGTGAAAGATATTTCAAGGGGAGAAAATGAAATATTTTTTAATCACACCTCCAAAACTGATTTACGGAAAGCACTGTCCATAATTTAGGAGTATATTTTTCTCCTCACCTCACATTCGGTTCACTGAGTACTCCCAGGTACAGAAGGAAAAAGAAGTTTTCTTTGACCCTTCCCTTGTTATGTTTGTTTTCATCACTTCATGAAAGGAAAATCCACACCTAGTTCAAAGCCACTTCTGAAATAACTCATTTGAATTTTGTGAAGGAAAAAGCAATGACCAGGAAATATGACACAGTTCCTGCTTGCCAGGATGTTATAATCCTTCATAAAGACATTTTCACACACTACTACAGTAAGTGATGAATGAGAGGCAGAGACCTTAAATGGTATAAAAATTGATAGAAAAGAGATGTCACTTCTTGCTAGGGTTAACATGGAAGTCTTCATTAAGAACTTGCAAAATGAGCTGGGCTTGACAGGAGAGGTGGAATTTTGATAGGTGAAGGCATATGAATGAGTGCCCTACAAGGGGTAAGAGCAACACAGGAAGGACCATGCTGGAGGTTTGGCAATGGCAAGTAGGGCTGTTAAGCTGGAGTTGAGGAGTTCTATCCAGAATCCGGAAACAATCCAGAAAGCCAGGTGAAGATGGACTGTGGAAGGCCTTGAATGCTGGTTAACAAATAGGAGACCAATATTATAAGCACTGAGGAGGTTCTGCAGGAGACCCAATAAAAGAATGACATTATGAAAGAAGTTTATTAGGCATGTTAAGTGTATTAGGAAGGTTTTTGGCTGAAATGGACCAAAATGGCAAAACACTAAAAACAAGGCGTCCATACAATTAATTGGAATGTATAGAAGGAGATAATGAAGGTCTAAGATGCTCATAGAAGATGTAGGAGGGAACAAATCACAGAGTGGAAGGCCTTTGACAGACAAGAGTAGAAGGCCAAAGCCAAGTCCTGGGGAATTCCCAATGGGAGGCAGGAGCATTGACTAACAAAGTGATAACAAAGATGTGAGAGTATAAAATTAGGAAAGTAGAAATCTTCAAAGGAAAACTTCAAAGGCCCTTAATGTCTCCCACGGAGCTCTTAGACTTTCCCTCTCACACTCTGTTCCGTTCAGATCCTAATAAGCACATTCCCTCAGGGCACAGGCTTAAGAGGGAACACCGGTTCCCTTTCCCTTGAAGTTAGGCCCCCTCCTCCCCAAAGGAAACATGGTTAATCCTAATTCCAGCCCTGACTTGATCACAAGAACGTGCACTTTTATGCAAACTTTATAAACTCTGCAACCATCTGTAGTCGTCATGGAAGAACCCAAATATGTAACAGAAGAGAAACCATAATACTCCTGGCAATCTTCTGTGTCATAAGTGATTATTACCGTGCCTCTGATCCCAGCTAAATTCCTCCCTCTTGTACAGAAGCGGTTTGGTTCCCATGAAGAAAGACTAAATTACACAAGAAGAATTGTCTTCCAAGGGAGGTGGACTCAATGCCACTGCATTTAATTTTATTATACATTATATTAATGTACATTATATAAATTATTGAAGGGCACTTAATTATTTTATATTTAATAGGATAACTAATATCATCCTGGAAGTAATGTTTTGTAGGTTTTGCTTATTTTTATCATTTATTTTTCCAGTTAAAAGAAATAATACTTAAAAAAATCAGTATTCTATCTCATTATGTGAATTAATCTTGCAATTCTCTCCAGAAAGCATTCATTCCATACATGCTCAATATGGGCTTCTCCAGATTGTTAAAGGCAACTTTTTCACTTTGCATAGATTGTGTTCTTTAATTCATTTACAAAGAAATATTTATTGAGCATCCACTATGTGCTAGACACTATGCCATCTATTTGTAGAGAAGCAAAGCTGTTTAAGACAGAGCCTCTATTCTAGAGAGCTTTATAAGTCAGTGCACGGATGGTTATAGGCAATAGCATTGAGTTTGACCTCAAATTTGCAAAAGCAGAGTCTCCAACTCTGCCATAAATCCCTTCTAGATTTCTGTGCCTCATAGCAGAGGTTTGCAGCTAGCACTGGAGTACTGAGCATTCCCTCAGGGGGCTGCTTTCAGAGATTTTAAAGTGATTTAAAGCATTTTAAAGGGATTTAAATGGGTTCCTTCATGGGGCTACTTGAAGAGAGTTTAAAAACTGACTCCAAAGTGTGAGTATAAAATAATAAATTAGTTTCTAAGAAACACAAAATGTTTGCATTCAAGTAAATGGTGTACATAGGAGTAATGATATGAGGCTGCATATAGATTCAGACATGCTACCACTGCCCCAAACTTCTTTGATATTTCTCTTTTGTAATAACCTTCGAGGTCAGTTTACAAGCCACAAAAGAAACTCCACCTCATTTCTTATAGTTAAAAGGTGATCTTTTATGATCCAAATATATTTTTTGTTGTGGTAAAATACATATAACGTGAAAATTACTATTTTAATAATTTAAAGTGTACAATTCAGTGGTATTTAAGACATTCACAGTGTTGTGCAACCATCACCACTGTCTAGTGTCAGAACATTTTCATCACTCCAGAAAGATACCCTGTACCCATTAAGTAGTCACTTGCTAGTCTCCCTTTCCCCCAGCCCCTGTTAACTGTTAATCACTTTCAATCTCTATGAATTTTCCTTTTCTGGGTGTTTCATATAAACAGAATCATACAATATGTGATCTTTTGTGTCTGGCTTCTTTTACTTAGAACAACGTTTCTGAGGTTCATCTATGTTGTAGCATGTATTAGTACCTCATTCCTTTTTACGGCTGAATAATATTCCATTGTGTGGATATACCACATTTCCTTTATCAGTGTATCAGTTGATGGACATTTGGGTTGTTTCCATTTTTTGGCTGCTGTAAATAGTGCTGCTATAAACATTCATGTACAAGTTTTTGTGTGGATATATATTTTCATTTCACTTGCGGTATTTACCTAGGAATGGAATTACTGGGTCTGGAGCAACTATGCTTAACCTTTTCAAGAACTGTCAAACTGTTTTCCAAAGCAGTTGCACCCTTTTACATTCCTACTGGCAATGTGTGAGGGTTTTGATTTGTCCACATCCTTGCCAGCACTTGTTATTTTCCATTTTTAAGAAATTCTAGTGGATGGGAAGTGGTATCTTATGGTTTTGATTTACATTTCCCTAATAACTATTGACATGGAGCATTTTTCATGTGCTTATTGGCCATTTGTATCTTCTTTGAATAAATGTCTATTCAAATCTTTTCCCCTTTTTTTAATTGGTTGCTTGTCTGTTTGTTATCGAGTTGTAAGAATTCTTGATGTATTCTGGGTACTAGTTCCTTATCAGACATGTGATTTGCAAATATTTTCTCACATTCTGTGGGTTGTCATTTTACTGTCTTGGTAGTGTCCTTTGATTCTCAAAAGTTTTTAACTTCGATGAAGTACAATTTATCTATTTTTTTCTTTTGTTGCTTATGCTTTTGATATCATATCTAAGAAACCATTGACAAACCTAAGATCATGAAGATTTACTCCTATGTTTTCTTCTAAGGAAACATAGTATTATAGTTTTACATAAACATAGATTTTATAGTTTTATCTCTTATATTTAAATATCTGATCCATTTTTACTTATTTTTTTGTATATTGTGTGAGGTAGAGGTCCAAATCATTTTTTTGCATGTGGATATCCAATTGTCCCAGCACCATTTATTGAAGAAATTATTCTTTTCCCATTGAATGGTCTTGACACTCTTGTTAAAAATCAATTGACCAAGGATGTATGGATTTATTCTGGATTCTCAATTCTATTCTATTGATCTGTATATTTATCCTGATGCCGATACCACAGTTTCGATTATTGTAGTTTTGTAGTAAGTTTTGAAATAGGGAAGTGTTGGGTCCTCCAACATGGTTCTTCTTTTTCAAGATTTTTTGGCCCTTCTGGGTCTGTTGCAGTTCCATATGAATTTTAGGGTCAGCTTTTCCATTTCTGAAAAAAATGTTGGTGGGATTTTGATGGGGATTGTATTGAATCTGTAAATCACTTTGGGAAATATTGCCATGTTAACAATATTAAATCTTCCAATCCATGAACACAAGATGTCTTTCTATTTATTTACGTTTTCCTTAATTTGTTTCAGCCATGTTTTGTTCAGTCTACAAGTCTTGCAGCTCTTAGGTTAAATTTATTCTTAAGTATTTTATTCTTTTTTGATGCTATTATAAATTGAATTATTTTCTTAATTTACTTTTGAGATTGTTCATTGCTAACATATAGAAATACCACTGAGGGGCCGGCCCGGTGGTGCAGCAGTTAAGTGCACACGCTCTGCTTCTGCAGCCCAGGATTCGCAGGTTTGGATCCCGGACTCGCACAGATGCACCGCTTGTCAAGCCATGCTGTGGCACGTCCCATATAAAGTAGAGGAAGATGGGCATGGATGTTAGCCCAGGGTCAATCTTCCTCAGCAAAAAAGAGGAGGATTGGCATAGGATGTTAGCTCAGGGCTGATCTTCCTCACAAAAAAAAAAAAAAAACACTGATTTTTCTGTTGACCATATAACAACTTTGTTGAATTCATTTATTAGTTCTAATAATTTTTGTGGATTTTTAAGGATTTTCTATATATAAGATCATGTCATCTGTGACTAGAGATAATTTTACTTCTTCCTTGTCATTTTGGATGCCTCTTATTTCTTTTTTCTTGCCTAATTGCTCTGGCTAGAACTTCCAGTTCAATGTTGAACAGAAGTGGCAAAAGCATATATCCTTGTCTTGTTCTTGTTCTTAGGGGGAAAGCTTTCAATCTTGCACCATTGAGTATGATGTTTGCTGTGGGATTTTCATAAACCAAATATTTTTTTACTCTCCTCTACTTCTCTCTCTTTTTTTTCCATGTTGCATTCGGCTTGGTTTTGCCTAGCTAAACCTCAGTCGGTCCTTCCTCTGCTGTTTGAGCCTATTGAGGGCCTCTGGAGGGGGACTGGTGAGGCAGCTAACGCTATGAATATTCCCAAAACTCATCAGGGAGTCAGGTTATTTGTGTGCTGTTTGCCTTCTGTGCAAGCTGTGAACTATTAACAAGTGTATAATTGTCTGAGCTCCACGAACATAACTTCAAGGAATTATTTTCAGTAAAAGTCAAAGACATAAAAATGGAAGAAAAAAGAAAAGAAAACAAAAACAGAATAGAAAGCTGTCTACTACTATTGGTATTCACTTTGTAATTTTTTCCACATTTCAGTGGTCTACTTTTGGGCTTATCAAATAAATTGTATACCCCATAAAGGCAAGAACAATAACTTTTATTATATTTTTCTCTACTCCTTTCTAATTCACTCACCCCTAAAACACTTACACACACACACATATGTGCACATACATCACAGTCTGTGTGGTATGGCAGCGTTCTGATGTTTTATGAGTTCAGTGTCTAACGTAATCACTTGAGAATCTGGGTCCTCTTTTTCCTTGAAACATAGTGAGAAAAACATTAGATAGTCTTGGTGTTGAGAACTCACCTGTCACATTAATGGTTACTGAGTGGCTTGCAATGAGTCCAGATGGAATATTCACAGAACAGCGGTATGATCCATTGTCACTAACAAGCACTTGATCAAAATGAAGAACAAAAATGGAACTATTGTTCCTTACTTCCCAACTCGTGTGTCTCTGAGGTGTATTCCCAAGATATGAACAGCTTTGTCCTTCGAGCTTGCACCAGGTCACGTTAGGTCTGTTCGCACAGTATTTTACAGGACATTCCAGTTGCAATGGATTCCCTGCTGACACAGTGTGTATGGAATATCTCTTAATGTAAAGCTGTACATCACATGGTTTTTCCCCTGAAAGATGAAAACAAAATTAAAATCAAATCTGACCTAGAAGGAACAGATATTTGCCACTTCAACAAAGATTTTTCAAGCATGATTCTATAATTTTCCCAAATAACATTTTTCAGTAATTAACCCTTGCTAACAGAATATCTAGCACATAGTGGCACAAAATAAATATTTGTTGGAAAAAACTAAAATAAATAATTTCCCCAATTGTTCAATAATTTCCTCAATTTCCAAAACATTACTGATATTTTTATTATAAAATTATATTTTGTTTTATTTTTATTCAGTTTATTTTATTATTCTGCAACTAGCCCAATAGGTAGCAAATAATAATAACAATTTGTTTTTAATTACTTATTACATTCCAGGGGTTGTGTAAAGCATATTAAATATTTTAACTCATTTAATCCTCACAACAAAAAAATGTGTTATTATGAATGCTTTTTTACAGATAAGAAAACTGAAATAATAAAGAATTTGCCTAAAGTTATACACTAATAATTAGGAGAATCAAGATTTAAACGTGTACTAGAGTCCATTACTCTATAATTCATTAACCATTCCTCTGTAATGTTTCTTGAGTAGTAATCACATTTTCTATTACTAGCTCTGGTATATTCCAATAAGTGAGAGAGAGAAATTTTGTAAACAACTATTTCCCTATAATACTTGGCATTAAAATTTTTCTTTACTTGTTTTTCAATGGCTTTAACATTGCCTTGCAATTTTTTCCATGACTTTTTCCACGGGAGACAGGCAACTCAAGATAACTGTCTGAAGATAAGATGTTCTGAGATAACATGAATTTTTTATGTTTTCCCAGTGGGAGGAGAAGCAGCAATCCACCAGTTCTTGAAGTTCTGCCTACTGGCCCAACATACAGGAAATACGCCTTTCTTTGCTTTGGTAGGGAGAGATTTTCCTGGAAACAGATTTTTCTATTATCTTCTGCGCACCTCCAGTTAGTAATTATCTTTGTATATAAAATGTGCAGCATAGAAAAAAATTTAATTCTCTATATTATTGAATAAGTTCTGTTACTGTTAACTTATCATGAATGTATGTACCTGGTAACCTCAACATCTGGAGTATAACTGAGAACCAAGATACATGAAAAAGCAAACAAAATAAGTATCGCAAGATCCAAATTTTATCTCATTTTTTGGACATAATTTTTACAATTCCATTATCTCTTCCTAATTAGCCCAGAGGGCATAAGCGTGTTATACAGAGTAATATCTACATTCATAATGATAAGATTGAATCAACAATAAAACTTTAAATTATGTTTAATATCATCCACTTTTAAAAACAAGGAAGTGTTCAATATGTTTTACAAAGAATTTCATCAGAAATGGTTATACTTCAAAAAATGTTTTGGCCTCCAAAGGAGAAAACTTCAGTTACTTGGAATGTACATTTATGTGGATTTATTCACTCTCTGATAATTGCTGGTCTGTATTGCCTCTTTTGAGACTCATGCACGTGAGCATGAGAAATGGCGCCATTTTGACAACCACTTAACCTTTTTGCATCAGTTACATCATGAGTGTATATAAATCATGGAATATTCTACTCAGGAACTGGGAAAACAAAATAACTAAAATAGACCAAGATTCCCCTTAGTTAAAGACTTTGTAGTGATTTATATCTTTTTATTTTTCCAGTAGAGTTAAGGCTAAGCACATAGTCTTAAGAATGTTTTCTCTTTAAGTTTCTTTTCGTACATCCTTATAGTTCTTTCTTGGCTCTGTTTTCCTCTATTTTGATCTGCTCTTTCAGCAATATATCCAAGCAATCCCCTTCATTCATTTCTTTCAATAATCTTCAAGCAGTCTTCTTAATAGATTCATAGTATCATAGGTTATAATGACATAAGCATAATTGAGATTATAGACAAAACTCGCTCTTAAAGGCAAAGAGGGCTAAGGGCTAGTCAGATGTTAAACCAGGAGACCACTTTTAGCCCTGTATTCCACACACTGCTCTACTTATAATGTTCCACTTGATTTCTGCATCCTTGCCAGCATGAATATTCTCATTTTTAACTATTTCCTAACACCCAATAAACCTCTCACTATAATTTCTGCTTACATCTCATCAATCCCTGCTCAGAATAATTATAACCTGATTGAGTCTTCAGGAATTAGATGGAGACAAGAGACTTGCAGAAAACTTTTAGAATCTCTGTGTATTTATATATTTATAACTGCTTTGAGATCTCAAACAAGTTCACTTTAAGACTTCCTAACTCAGTTGCATCTGAAGATTCGGAATAAAAATGAAAGCAAATGAAAAGCCAAGTTATGAGGATGAGGTTTTCAAAAAATTGAAGAGAAAGGATGAGGTAACTTACCAAAAGGAAGTGCCTAACAATATGACACCTGGATGTGGTTAGACTAATCACAAAAAAAGCAGTAAGATTGGAGTTGGATAGGCCAAGTGAAACTCTGGTTTCCAGAAGTCCATTTTTCTACCAAAAGTTAGTAGACTACCTTAGCCTCCTAACTTCACTTTCACTTACTTGGATAAGTCAATCATAGTTTATAGAGCCTATAACTCTGTGCCAGCATTGTGAAAAACAACAAGATCATTACAGACAAAGACCTTCTTGCCCTCAGGGAGCTTACCATTAAATTGGTGAGACAAAATTAACTAACAAGTCCACTTTTCTGGAATAAATTTACTATCTACCACTCTTTTTTTCTTCAAGTTTATCTGAACCTAAAGCAAGGCTCAGAGGGATCTTGTACGCCAGTTGTTAGGAATAAATAAGACAAGATGCCTCCTTTCAAGGGACTTGCCTTCTAATGGGAAATAAAGATGCTTGACAAATGGGAGAAGGAAATAACGCTAGAAATAGGTGCAAACTCTGCTTGGGTTTGCAGAAGATTAACTTCAGCTGAGACTGTTGGTGCAAGTCTTAATGGAAAGGATATATTTGAGCTGAACATTAATGAATGAGTAGCTTTTTGATAATCAGAGCAGTGAATGGGACAGGGAAGGTATTTTAAGACTGAGGTAATAGAAGATCAAATGCAGAGAGGCCAGGCATCTCATGGCAGATTAGGGAATTGATACACACATGGATCATGGTTTTCTGAAATAGTGACATGGAGACCACTGGTTGTTTCAGAATAAATGAATAAGTATTAGGTGGGAGAAATTTAAGCTTTGCTTCTCCATGAGAAAACAGAGCCTGATTCTTTGGGGATATTTATAAAGTTCATGTAAATAGCTGAAAATGAGAATATTCATTTGAACACGATTGTTCAAATGCTAGCTCGTTGTGTGATGTTGAGATAGCCACCCAGTCTCACTGGCCCTCAGTTTCTTACACAAGAAACTTCCCTCAGTGTGTGACCGACACTATAAAACCACTTCTGAGTCTCACTATTACAATGTGATACCTTTTCATTTAGCCATTGAGCTGTTACGCAATGCTAATAGCACAACTGAGCATCCCTTCTAGTTTCAGCATTTTATGACTATATGCCTGGGAGAAGTGCACAAAATGGGTTAGGAGTGGAGAAGAAAGCTAGCTGTTAGTCCTGGCCACATCACTGACTTGCGATAGGATTATAGAAACATCACTGTGGTTCTCGCATATTCCTATCAGCGGGGTGAGGATCATTGACTGTCACATTCACTGGCATAGGAATTTTTCTTTTTTTAAAGATTTTATTTATTTATTTTTTCCCCCAAAGTCCCAGTAGATAGTTGTATGTCATAGCCGCACATCCTTCCAGTTGCTGTATGTGTGACGCGGCCTCAGCATGGCTGGAGAGGCGGTGCGTGCCCGGGATCCGAACCCGGGCTGCCAGCAGTGGAGCTCGCGCGCTTAACCACTAAGCCACGGGGCCGGCCACTAGGAATTTTTCTTGAACAGAGGAATGAATAGATGAATGCAGGCTTGCCAGCAGGCATTAAAAGTCATCAAGAGTACCCTCTCTTTGTACAAAGAAGTTATTAACACTTACCATCTCCCTCAGACTAAAACTAATGTTTAGAGTGCAGGAATGATGCACTCAGCTAAATGGCACAATTCTAATTTTCCATCTGACAAGTAAGTTGACAATTTGTTGCTTATCCTAAATTATGTATATCCATCTCATGACACTCAGGACAGCCAAAGCTGTCCCCAAGGGATTTGTCTTGCCAAATAAACACTTTTTGAAGAGGGATGAAGATCACACTTGCTTTTGGCTGGGACTTATCAGCCTACATTAGTTATTGTTGTCCCTGCTGTTATTGTTCCTGTTGTTTTTCTTAAACATTCATATCTAACGGTAGGGAATTTTAATGCTAAAAATAATTAAATAAATACGTGCAGTAAAAGGATGAAACGTCCACCATCCCCAGGCTCTCATACAATGAAGCATCCCTTTTTAAGTCACTGACTGTAGGTTTAGGAAGTCTCTCATTTTAAAAATGCTTATGAAAATCACTACTGTATTATTACCATATGTATATTTCACAGTCAGGATGTACCTAGCATATTTGGTGCCCAGACTACATCATTTTTAACAACTCTCTTCTTTATACAGAAAAATATTTTCAGAAATAACCATGAAGTGATACAAGCAATAAAATGGCCAGAAAAGAAACACAGACTGTGGATATTTTCTTTCATTGAACTCCATATATAAACCCATGTAAGTTAAAAAAAAAAAAAAGGAAAAATTCACAGCTATTTATTTAATAATTTTTATATCTACCTGAACAGTATGAACTATGATCCTTTAGTTAAAGTCTGAAATACTAATTTACATAAATAATTTTCTAGTAACCAACAAGTAAATTTTATTAAAACTGAAATTATACAAAAGATACAATTTAGGCAACTACTAAGTTGTGCCACTGATGTAAATTTTATTCTCTGGATTCATTCTTCAATTTTAAAACAATTAACACTTTAAAGAGAAGAATGTATTTCTATTTCGATTGCAAAGATACTAATCAATAAAAAATTACACCTCGCAGTTGATACTGTTGCACTGTTC